CTTTATCATAATAACTGACATATTTTCCATATTTAAACGGACGGAATTTTCAAAAATTCGATAACGGTATTTGAATAATAACATTAACCTCGGTTATGTTAACCGACGTATATTGTAGTAAATAAGAGTTTGACCCAAAGATCCCTTTGGTCCTATTTCTACTGCCATATAGAAGTTCCATTCATAAGCGTATTTGCTGTTATTCTGTCTTCTTTACCATGTTGTCGTAAGATTTGTTTTTTAGTTGACGACTGAAACATTTCGTACACGCCTAATCAGCAAGTTTTAATAAAGTTTGTGTTTATAACACATGCATCTGTTTTCAGGAGAGCACAGTAAAACAGAGACTAATAAAATGGAACTTTGGTATTGTGTTATAAAAATAACAGGATAACATGTTCGATTGTGAAACCATAAGCATAGACAAAAGCTTTCGACGAAATTACAAATTGCTCATACAAAGACATTAACATACAATAAAAGGACTGAAAGACATTCATGATTCTAAATCGTTTTCTAAATCCTAACTAATGCAGTATATGCTAGATTTTTGTCTGACGTCATGTAACGTTTCCTTGATACTGGGATACGACTTTTTTAAGAAAGGCAATATTTTAATTAGCCTGTGTAGATTTATATACTTCTTCGCTTCTGTACACAGTGATTTTATGTTTTATGAGATTTCAGAAACACTGTTTTAATTATGAGCAATTCGGAAACCTTAAACACGCCGACATAGTAGCAGCAATTTTTTCGAAAATTTTTTTATGGAAACGCATTGTCTGTACATCATTTTAGAAAATTGATCAATACTTCAAACGAAAAAATAAATTTGCTCTAAGATTTATGAAATCGGATGCCTTTAGGCATACCACTGGAAAAATCTGGAAACCTCTCTTAGAGTTTTAGTAAGCTTCTTCATAATAACTCTTAAAATTTTTGGAGGTTTATTGTCTACTACAGCTTTACCAAGTTATTTGATAATTACTAAAAATGTTGATTTTACTGTACCGCGTTAACATGTAACGCGTTGAGCAAATTTTACTGTAACCATATTCAACGTTCGTCTTGTGTACTGTAGAACTGTTGTACTGTTTTACACAAAATATATTCTGTAACGGTCTTTGTATAACTTCCAGATCCTAAATTAATTTAAAGTACACAAAAGTGTAAAAATAGTTTTACATGCAAAGTGAATAACACACTATTTTGCAATGGTCTTCACCAACGTGGTTTTTGATACGTAATTTTATAAGATATTTTCTCCTTACTTTCTGCATGCCTCCGTGGTGTAACGTAACACTCTCGAGGCTTGTTCGAGAGGTCGACGTTCGAGTCCCAACGAGGACATTGTTAATTTTTCACGTTTCCCAAAATCGAAAGCCTAATGATTCTACAGTGGTGCCAAAACTAAAAAGTGGCGGATAAAATTCTTCATCACCAGGATTTGGCGATTGGGTCAGCTAAACCCCAGTCACCGTTTAAATGACCATTTTCTCCCTCCATCCAGCATGCCTTCGTGGTGTAACGGTTAGCACATTCAGCGCGTATTCGAGAGGTCGAGGTTAGATTCCCGGCTAGGGCTTTGTTCATTTTCAACATCTCCTACTTCAAAATAAGCGAATGTCTCTATAATTTTGTAGGTGTGCATTTTCAGCGTTTATTTCAAGAGATTTTTCTCCCACCTTCCCGATGTTGCTGTTATTTAGGAGTTAAATGTTAAAATTTCGTTGAATTACACGATCCTCCGTTTTAAACTTCCAAGCTCTCTTCTCCAGCAGCATTGACTGAGTCGTCTCTGCCTAAGACTAGAAGCATAACAGGATTTCAAGAAAAATTACGAAATAATGGTGTTGTTTGCTGAAGAAATACCAAGCCCAAACTTTTAGTGTGACGAAAAAAACAGGAATCACGAGAATTTTGTCTTAAATCCTCTTATTTAACAGTCGATCCAAATCTTACGGCTTCTGAACATGAACACAAAAAATAAACACAAAGGTATTTATGAAAGTCCTTGACATAAATATTCTTGTCAATAAAAAAAGTTTCTTAAAATATGAACCATTTCTAGATATTTTTGTTTCCTTTGTAAATATTTGCAAAACAACGACATGCTTCGTAGCGCATTTTAAATTAAGGTGTTAAATACTCACTCTTTCAAGTGAGAGTATTTATGAGTTATTCTGTTAACAATTTTCGCATCAGTAATTCTTGGTTCAAGAGTATTTCATCAGAATGTATTGAAAATTTCTTCTTAACGAAATTACTTTGGAAAATACAGAAAATAAAATATATGCCTGTTTTAAACTTTGAAAGCGAAGCTGAAGATTGCACTGAAAAAAAGGTGGGAACTGATTAATTATTTGCTCGTTGTCTTAGAAGTAGACAGATCCAGTTTCAGTGAAAATGAGTATCATAAAAGCTAACCTGAAAATAAAACTTAAAAAGTGTAATACAAATTACCAATAATAATTCCAATAATAGTAGACCTCCAGTTATCCAAACTAATTGGCACTGCAGTCCCAACAGCTATATAGATTCCTATTTGTTTCATAAAATTAAACAATGGAATTGTTTTTACAGACATTAATATACAGCCTATTTCTATTTCCACTAAAATGAAAATCGGAATGCATTTTTATTTATGCTGACCATAAAATTAAAGATATAATTTTATTTTTATTTTTTAATACTAAACTGAAACAAAAAATTTTTCTCGTTGTGTAAAGACGAGAAGCATAACTTTCTGCTTAACTAAAATTGGTTTAGTTTCTATTGATGTAAAATAATGATCTCTAAATAAGGAACATAAACTTTTTAAAACAATAAAATGTTTCAAATAAGTTTTTTAATAATAAATTTATTTTTAATGATGACAATTTCCAAACTAGTAAATGAATTAATGCAATAAATGAATTAAATGGAATCCAAATTTTACTTGGCTGGAAAGATCATCAAATGCTCTGGATCACCGGTAACTGAAGGTTTCGTTAAATAGTGAAGAAACGTTTTCTTCTTGTAATAATTTGAAAGTTGTTTTTGGCGTTGGATATGCTTCCATTTCCAGTTTCCTAATTTTCCATTTGTTTTAGGGAAAATTATAACAGTACGTGGTCATGCTGTACTGTAAGTGAGATTCAAAGCATTATGGCGCACCAGCGGCCTAATGGTAAAATCACTAGACGCTGGTATTTCGGTCCCAGGAATGAATCCCGCGAAACGGGCTGGCTGCATGGGGGTTTCGTGGTTTTCCTCATATGTATGCGAGCCAGTTTCCCTTAGAAAGTCCTCCGTGAAAGTATCTCTTTCCCTAAGGAGATAGCCCTTGAGGCTTTACCGTAGTTAAATAAAGCCAAACCAAAGCATTGTGCTTCTGATGTATAAAATCATAATTAAAATTTTGAATTAAACGTCCTGAAATTTTTATTCGTCTGTTTCAGTTGCTGTATTTATACCTGTATGTTAGTAATTAAAATAAGCATGCTTGCAATGAGAATTTTGGTAAATGTAATTGCTTAGAAATGAGATGTATAAAACTGTTTGTAACTGCAGCCTTTTGTTAAAATGTTATATTCTAGACTTGAACAATTAATGACTATGTTTTAGTAAAGAAAGCAATAAAAATACAAAATATGCATATGTAGATGTGTTGCAGCAACTAATATTAGCTTCCTTTATGTTTCCTAATATTATGAGAGTTTCGAAAATAAGTTATACACATATAAAATTGTGAGGTTCTTACTAAATATTAAATACTGTAATTATTTATTGTCAAGTGTTATTTCTTAACTGTTTATTTATTAATTTAATTAATGACTTTTTTGTTTATTAATTTATTATAAGAAAGTTAATACTGATTTTGTTTTTTGTAAATGTTTTTTTAATATTCTTTAAAATATTTATTTTTCGAAAATGTTCGAGTTTAATATTTTATTGCATTATAAAAGAAAATACATCTATTTTAAAATGAGGAAAGTATTTTAACATTTAAATATTTAATATCACTTGAGACTATCGGTTTTGTTTAAAAGAAGAAGAATAAGAGTTTTAGTTCTCAGTTCGGTTTCAGTTATCAAAAATTTTGATTTCATTTTTATAAAATTAGTTTAAAAATTCTTGATTAGTATATTTATGTACAAATGCAATTTCTTATGCCGAAAGCAATAAGGTATATATCGAGTAAAGGAATAATGGCTCAGAAGAATTTTTTTTTTACCTGTTGACCAATGATGATATTATATTCTAGAAAGAAAAGCCAATTGTTGAAGACAATAATGAGACTTAAACAAAGGAATTATAATTTAAACAGATAACTAATTAGAATTCACTTATTTAGAAGGAATATAGTAAAGTATAATAAAGTATAGTAGATTTTCAAAGTAATGCATTAAAAAGTGATAAAGTAAAGTACAGTAGATTTTTCAGTCATAAGAGTTTATAGTTCTGTGATTTTAAGATTCATAATTATGTTAATAACAAGTAACATGAAAATAATTGAATATTTTTCGACGTTTAATTAGAAAACCTGTCTTCAAATACAATTATTAATTCGAAACAAATTTTTCCGTTCTAAGAGTAAAAATTAAACCGTACAACGCAAATTGCTTTTTGACATCCCAACAGCTGTAAATTTCACCAACTTGTGATTAAATCACAAGTGAGTTTTCTAGAAACATTTTCTATTGATACTGTCCTTGTAAAAGCTTGTTGTAATATGTTTAGTTTTATAATTTATGCAAAACCCACGACAGAATTTTTAGTTTTGTTTTCAATAACAAAACTTTAACTAGACGGTCAACATCTAAATTGTCCCGTCCTTCACACAAACCTTATTAACGGGCAATGTTTAGTGTTGAACAAGAGTGAAATTTCTGTGTGACGTCATGAACCGAGGATTCTGACCCAGATACGGAATCTCTTGCAAACAGGTCGTTTGGGCAATCGGGGTCGAACATTCTGATTCGATAGAGTTTTACCTCAGTCCTTGCTGGGCCTGGACATTGGGGGTCAACCCACGTGCATATATATACCCATATATATAAAGACAAGAATCTAACTAATAGTAACCATTCTTCCATTCACCAATTGGATTAACTACAAACCTATAGAGAAGCATCATGAAGTATCTTTGTGCTATCGTCGTATTCTTGGCTTTGGGTAAGTTCTATTTGTCACCGCGTGGTCTTCATTACTCATCATATGAATTTAATCAATACCTATCTTTTGGTTTGTAAACTCTATACCGCTAAGTTTCATATAATATACCTTTCACCGCGATAATTTCAAAATTCTTCAAGTCATAAAATTTAATGGAAACCTGGAAGAGATAACTTGAAGTGTGTTTTGTATTCCCTTTTCAAGCAAAAGCTTTTTGAAGATTAATTACTTAAAATGCATGGGAATTCCTTAGACCACATCAAGCAACTGACCTTTACCAGCGAAAGACTAAAAACAAATACCCGAATCTAATATTTAGCTGGCATCAACTAATAGAGGAAATCTCTGGACATACAAACTCATAGACTACAATATGACTACAATAGTCTCATCGCCTGTAAAAATTCTATATTGTTTTCTTGGAACAACTTCATCATTTGGTAGTTCTTACAATCACAACCATAATTGCAAAAAGTCTTCATCTTTAGTACTACGAAGCTCACTGACCGAATAATCCCCTAACGGGTTTAAGACAAACTTAAAATTGGCGCCAGTTATAAACATTACTTCTAAAAAATAAAGTAAATCTTAGAATTAGCAGAGCAGGTGTAGTTGCGAATACACTAAACCGAATTTATTATATTGTAAATTTTATTATGGCACTTATATTTGTGAAAAATCGCAATAAGTATTCTATGTTGTCAAATATTTTCTTTCCTTTTAAAATTTTTATTTCTTGCCATCGCAAGAAATTTGTTTCCTTTTTATCATGTGTTGAAGACGGCCCCTCCGAAACACAAGCCCTATATATTTTCTTTATTTGTTTAATGGTTAATTTATCACTTACGAAATTATTGGGGAAATGTGCTGTAATGTATTTGAACAAATTCGTGGTATAAAGCTCAAAGCACTTTCGCAACAAAGAAATGCAGTGAGTTCGTAAACATATAAGGAAATTAAGGCAAGTTTAGCAACTGAAAAAAATTACACTATGTTAAAACCAGTTTACATGAAGTCAGTTTAAATAATTGAATAAAATATTATTTCAAATTTTAAGAACGATCATGAATTATGTCATTTTTTTCGATGTAACTTTCAGAAAACAATGGTAAAATTTTCATAAGCTAGTAAATAAAAATGTAAATAATCAGGTAAATGATAAATAATGTTCATATAAATTCTAATTCTTAGGCATTATAAATGTCAGAAAAAATAATTACGGATGGTTCATTTTTAATTTAATGTAATCAGAACAAGCAAAAAAGCAAACAAAAGAAATCTGGGTATGTTTGAAAAAAAATGGTTTGCATACTTTTTCAGAATTATATTTTAGAAATATAGTGCTTAATTTTTAATAATTCTGGAGAATTGGTTTAAATAAACTTACCGAAAGAACTAATTAATGATGATTTAAATCTTAAAACATTATAAATGGTTACCTGAAAAAGCATTACTCTGCTGAATTTACGTCAATGATTTTAAATTCAATTATATTACATGCCTTTTAAAAGTAGCCCAAATGAATTCCAGCTAGCGCATTGTAATACACTGCATTTCTTTAATACCGGCCATTCTCACCAGGTGTCTCTAAGATGAGATTTAGTGAGTTAATAAAAAACTAATGTCTTTCTGAATGGATGCTTGGAGGGGGGAAAAAAAGATAAAAAAGAAAGTGGTTGGGAATGGGAGAAATTCCTTCCAGTTCATTTTTCTCTTTAATCTACATTTGATAAACGTCCGCTATCACAACCAGCTCCAGTTTGGAAATGATAATCATAGCCAATTATCAAAAACTCGTTGCAGGGTTCTAACCCATTTTGCATAGATTATTACTTTTCGGGCTATATTAAGGGGGATGAGGAGGGGGGTCATCAAAAGAATTTCTCAGATTTGGCTTCTGGTAGGGGAGTCAATGCTCATCGCTTAGGGCAGAGGGAAAGTTTGTCTCTGCAACCATTGGGATCAGTGGGTCAGCGATCGTAAAATTCTTCATTAGGATTCTAATTGCAAAACACCACAAACTTCCTCACCAGTCATGTGATTTTGTGTCTTTTTTATCGCGAAGCATCGAACTCTGTTTCTTCTCTTAGAATATCTGCCTTAAAATAGATCTCGAAAACCAGGTTTCATATCTAACACAAAAATAAGCACTGGTAGTAGCATAACACGACAGCAAACTAGGTCATAAGGAGAATGTGCAAAAATAAAAGTTTTTGATACTTTGATTAGTAACTGCATGTGATGTATATCGTTGTTGCATCAAGAACAAAATTTTGGAAGATAAAAGAGATGATCATGTATGATGAAATTTGATTAAATGCTTATCATATAGCTCACGATATTTAAATCTAAAGGTTTTAAGAAATGGGTATCAAAACATTAAAATGTACTAATAAATATATTTTTTAAGAAATGATAACTTTTTAATATATTATTTTGTGCATTTCATTTTATATTTAAGTTATCATTTTGTTATCAGTTTTGCTGTCATTATGATTGAAGAAACAAATTAAAAATTTACCTCTCTTTTTTTTTACTATTTTTAATCTGCTGACTTTGCGAACCCCTTTTCTTTACTGTTTGACATTCTGAGAGAGTTTTTATTTTGCTCCATGTAAAACTCATGGTATAGTGGGTACTTGTCATTATAGCAACCAGTGATAGAATGAGAGGTCATAAATATCCTCAAATTCTGATAATTGAAATTGAATCATTTGCGCTCGCAACTATTCGTTATGACGCCTTTTTCCTTCAGAAAACAAAGGGTATTTATAACAAAAAACAACAAAACTATCTAACTTATATTTTCTTAAAACATATACACGTCTTTAAAGTTAATTTTACATTTTACGGTAAATATGATTCCAATGAAATATAAATTCTAGGTTTTTCTTAATCATTTTACATTTTTAAGTCTACTTTCTTTGCTTTTAGACTGATCGTTTTGGAAAGGAAGTTTAAAACGTTAATAAAAAGTGCAGTGCTTTTAGGAAGTATTTTCCAGTTTGTTGTAATGTGCACGAACAGTTCATTTTAAGGTATTCCGAAATTTCTGTAATTTAATTTTGCCTTATAATGGTGGGCCGTACGTAAAATCATATCATAGTGATCCTTCATCCTCCTAAAAAAATCTGGTGTAAGATTATTTGATCATATGCTGCTTTTAAATCCTAAGAAAACTTCTTAAAGTGATCTCTGCCTAGGGTAGTTAGTTATCTTTTACAGTTTCCTGTTTTTTTAGCCAAGTAAATTAATTCCCTTCAGTGATGGTCTATGAAGTCATAACTGTAGTTATTTAATCTTGATGAAGAAATGCATCACTCTACAATAGAAAGCAAAACCTGTCTATTTTTTCACCAATCATCTGACTGCATTTACAGTAAAATTGCTCAAAAACGAAAACATTTATTTATAAGACAAAGCTTAACAAAAGGCAAAGTCTAACATTTATACTAGGGTATCACATGTAATTTGAAATGTCCTGTAATTATGCATTGCTTATTCTTTCTACTACAATAATAATAATAATATTCTTTTTTCACTTGGAATTTATTTGAAGAAAGAGCGCTCAGTGATTCTTTTCCCAATGTATGAAAATATTTTTTTTTGTTGTTTTACTTCAGAAATTGTGCTGATAGTCCCATGATCTGCATTCTATTTTTCAACATCTGCTAGCAAAAAGTGATTAACTTAAAAAACTTCTGGAAAATAAGCACATTTTAATTGTTACTATTATTTTAAAGCAAAATTTTTTAGAATAATAATATTATTTGATTTATTATTAAATATAAGATGGAATTATAGAAGTAAGAGCATTAATTCTACCTCAATAAACTTTATTTAGTACATCTCTCTAGCATTGGAAAATAAATAAGTGTAAATCTGTACCCTAAGTTGCATGTACCTCTGACTGCAACTATTAAATGAGTTCTGTAGATGATAATTAACGCTGTTCTACAAGGACATATAAAAACAAGAATTCTGAATTTGTTTTTTTTTAATGCTGTTTTCTGTTTTAATCTGCAATGATTGGTAATTTGATATTTTCAAATATAAAAAAAAATAATTTTGATATTTTCCAATAATCAACATATTCGAAAGTATATTTTTCTTAATCAAAAATTAAACAGGATTCCGGAAAGTTCATGTAATTATTTCACGTAATGACGTTTCCTTTTTTTACAATTTGATAGAAATTCGATTTTAATCAATTTCAGTATCAAACTTTCTGCAATTTCAATCTTCAGTTTGATAGAAATTCAATATCGAATAATATGAATTCGCCATTTTGCCTAAGAAGCTTCTTTACATAACAATTCTTGAATACGTATACGTTCACGAGCGCTCTTTAAAAGACGTTTTTTATAATAGGTATTGAAAAGAATTTTCATTAACACGCTCGGAAATCAGATGCAATAAGAGCTTTCATGAACATATGACTTCTAGAACTAAACTTATTTATTTTCTCTGCGTATTTAATGAATTATATTTTATTTAGTTCTTTAAAAGACAAAACAAAGGTGCGAATTATTGAGCACATTTTGGTACAAGAACAAATTTTCCGTCGTTGACAATTTACTATTTTAGAGTAGTGTTTTTTGAACAAGTTCTAATTTCATTGTACTCATTGTAAATAGTACTTTATAACTTACAGATTCATATATTTCCTGGAAATATAGATTGCTTTTATAAAACTTCGTTAATACTATTCATAAGCAGCGATACTTTCGTAATTTGTTACACCTACTATGACACATTTTCACTCTAATTTACTATTAACATTTTTCACAAGAAACTTGAAATAGTGAAAAGAATAAGAATCTAAAATACTCAGAACGCAATGGTTAATAATAAATATGAATATGATCTAAAAATGAAAGAACACGTACTATGTAGAATGATTTTAATAGTTAAGCAACATTTCTTTAGTGCTTATTCCTTTCCTTTACCATTCCAAACTCAAGGTTTAAACTAGTAGACATTAACTACCACCCTGCCGTAATACCTTGCAATGTACAGGGGGTTTCCGAATTATTGTTCAAAAATGTGCATGAGAGTCTGGAACATGATGACTAGGAATAATCATATAGGACTATGTGGTCTCATGCCCGCAAAGGCAGGGACAGAAAGACGCAAGATAAGTTGCAAATAATGAGGATTTATAAGGGGATTTTTGGGGACTACCTAAGAAGCCCTAGACTATGAAACCGGACATGAATCTAATGGCACGTCTCCGTTGTTGCAATTGGTGCTGTTGCTGATACAATCGGTATTCTTAAAAACGCTAATTAATCGATGCGTTTTCGTTGCGAGGCATGTACTGCATCTACATGCCACAACTCCGAATACCTGCTTTAAAAGTTTCATTTCAAAGAATATGTGTATACTCTTCTTAGTGTAAGAAATTCTCAATCTTTGTTACTTGTTTATGTCTTTGTCGGAGTACAGCTCATCGGGGTTATGCATGTGACACAGTGTTCCTACATGATTGTTTCCTGTTTTTTTTCCCTAAACTCTATGCACATTTTTGAACAACGATTCTGAGGAAACCTGTGTTTATATTGCACAGTGGTGTGAAGAATTATGCCTCTATCGCTGATGGCAGAGTCCTGGCATTTTCTTCCTCTTCCTCCGGTCCTATCTTGTAAGACTACAGTCAATAATATTTGCACTGGATATCGCTAGATAAAACTTTGCAGTCAGTTAGAGCGAATCAAACATTAATTTGAATTATCTAGAAATACCTTGTGTAAGTATTAGGTGAATAACAATAACTGCCTTTTATTTATTTATTGAGATACGCTGGGAAATTCTGTTCTTTTTTCAAATCTTTTTTTAGAAACACAGAAATATTAAATTTGGGAATTAAATGCCTTGAATGCATTGCATCCAAATGTAAGGAAATCTTGTAACTTTGTAAGAGAACATGTTGAAATTAGTTTATGTTTTATCGTATATCTGAATATAAACTGAATTTTCTCATCTCAACAGCTTACCAAACATCTGCACAATCATGCCATCTTCGAGAAGTAGATCTGTGTGTTGCAACAATGATCTTCCATTACCAAGGCAGCGGTGTTCCTACCGATGAGAGCGGAGTTGCGCAGTTATGCGAGTGAGTACATAGAATTATTAGAGGCTTCAATTATTTCATCAAGGTACAATTCTAGCCTTGATATTTTGCATATTTATTTTAATTTTTTATAAATAAAGAGTATGTAAAATCTTAAAATAATTAAATGTCCAAAATGCTTTATTAATTGAGTGATTTGAATTATTTAGTTTTATTAAATTAAAATTTTTCTTACGATAAGAAGTAATACATAAACTATTTTTTTTAAATAGCTTTCAATTAAAATATTTAAAATGTTAAATCAGAATTAGTTTCTCATTCACGCATAATAAATTCAAACTGTTATGATTTCAATTGCACGAAAAGCATATTTATGAATACATAAAGCGATCCAAAAGTAGTAAAAAAGTAAAATTTCAGTAACTCAAAAAGTATATGTAACAGCACGATGCGAATTCACAGAAATGCTTAGACAGACACACACGGAATTTTTTAAATAATCAAAGCTTTCATTGTCAGTATTTTCCAAATTATTGAATTTCAATTTCTTCTGCTACTTTTGAACCACACTGTATATGTATACAACATTTGGAGAACACGAAGATATATTACACTAATTCTGAGGTTGTTAATTATATTGCTTTTAACTTAATAAATTTTTAAGCTTAAGTATGTAAAATGTTAATTTCATTCGAAGAAATAATTTTCACTTCATAAAATACCTGTTTGATTAAATGTAAAAATTTACGTAAGTGTTTTTTTTTAAAAAAAGTTTTTGCATTTAAACGTAATAATTTAGATCATAATTTTGCATTAAAATCTAATTTAAAACTTTGCTTTTTGCTTCATTATAAATTAGTTTTATATGAAATACTATCGAACAAATCTAAAATTATTAAATCAATGGTGAAGAAAATAAAAATTGTATTTCCTTTGTACTTTAATATTTATTGTAAAATACTTTATTAGATCCATCGACGAGACATCTCAGTGTCTCAGGAATTTCACCAACAAGTGCATGACTCCAGTTCAACGTGAAGTTTTAGAACTGGTTACTGAAGGATCACAGAAGACTGTCAACGATTTCTGTTCTCCAGGATCTGAACTCAGGGCCAGTAAGTCCGTTCTCAGTAATTTTGTCGCTGAACCATACATTCTAAATCAATCTAAAAAACACTTTGGGAGATATAAAAATATAAACCGACAAGTAAAAAGTTTAATTAAAATCCTTTTTGAAGTGAATTCCTTTTTAATTATTTGAAATCGATACCTATTATTCAAGAAGTTTGGATAGGATTAACTTAGTATAAATCTGCAATAAAATGCCATTTGAAAGCAAGTAAATAAAAAAACCCGACAGTGCTTTGTCGGATTAGTTTCTGTCATAATTGGTCAACAGTTTATGACTAGTAATTATTAGCCCAAATGGGCGTTAGTCCAGAAGGGCTATTAATTTCGGTTTGACATTTTACGTTGGTTCACTATAAACGGGACTTCACTTTTTAAATTGTTGCCACAAAATACTAGTGCCCTATTATATTTCTCCCGTGGAACAAACGCTCTTTTGGACGTAATATAAAATCTGAAAGCCTTCAGAATTTTTTTTATTATTTTTTATGAATTTATTCCTGATTTCGTTTTTGAAATATGTAAGAACATTTCTTAAATGGTGTGTAAAACTTTGTACGATGTTTAAAATCTATGTGTTTTTAAACACTAGCGAATTTCAATTTCATTTACCGATTAAATATAAAATCACAAAAAAGAGCTATTTTACAGTTGGTACGGGGCTAAGCAATTATGACAACTTATCTAAGTTCTACAAAAATGTAGATTACGTATCGCAAAAAGAGTATTGAATTTAGTGAAGAAAGTATTTCAGGATAATATTTGACTTAGCAGCAAATTAGAAATTTTTGAAACAATAATAACACCAAATATGAAATAGAACATCACAATTTCTTTTACAACAAATTGCTACCGCCATCCATTGGCAAGCTGTGACTAAAAATCACACATTTAACACAAAGAAACGAACCTATGAGCTCAAGATACGTTTGCAGTGCAATTCTGAGATTTCACACTAATCAAATTACTTATCGATTTTATAGATATAGTGTCTAACTGAATCTGCACAATACATTATTCACAATTAAATAGAGTTGTATTTGTTTCAATGTTTCTTAAATATTTCAAGAAAGGAGATCATTAATCTGAAATTAAAATATCGGTGTCAAACTACATTGTTTAACCATGAGCATGATTAATTTTACCGTGAAAATATTATAAATGGATTTAATTTTGCATTACCAACATGTGCATGTTGAAAATTAAGCAGAAAAGAAAACGTATTGCACGTGTTATGTGCGAAATTTTACTGTAAATAAAATTTCAACTTAAAAGTTCATGTAAAATTTTAAACTATTAAATTTTTGTAAATTTCAATATTGATAAGAAATTAGCTTAATTCTGCTTCAGATATCTATTTCTTAGATTAAAAAACTGAGACTTAAAAAGCATTTGGATGTTAAAAAGGATGTTAAAAATAAACGATATAGAGATAAATTTAAGAAATTCTTTATATGGATTCTATAAAAAGATATTAGCACTGCAAAACAAAAATATATATGACTTCATGTTTCTTTTATTATGAATTATTATTCAGGTCTATTTTGTAATTCGTCAGAATGAGATGTGAATTGGTCTTCTTCAATTAAATCTCTAAATTTATGGAAAATAAATGTTCTTTGACTGGAAATGATTAATATCGAATACTTGTTTAATTAATTCAATCCATTTTAAAAATAATTCAATTTACTTATCGTGCATAAAGTTAATTTGAACGAAACAGCGAATTAGAATTTATATCTAGACACGCAAGTTAGATTGTTAGAATTCAAGTTATGACACGCTTAATTACAGCCAAAATGTCAAAAATAATCTTATAATCCTATAATTTTGAACTTTGTAGAATTCTTGAAACATGCTAAGTGCCTCGGAGAGGTCCATGGTGACGATACTATGCGTGACTGCATGGTAGATATGCAAGTTGCAGTTGAAACCGTAACCACAACCAAATTCGACAAGAGAATCGGAACATTATGCTGGTGAGTATTTACTTTTTACGTGAATTTTATTATGAAGTTTTCATATATAGCTCATCATTTAAAAAGCAACTTTTGTAGGAATCCGAAAAATGCTGTGCCGTATTTTTGCAATTAATCCTAACTGCGATATGCCATCATGGATTACATTTCAGAAATCGTCTCTGAAAGAATTTTCTCTTAATTGGCGAATCAGTTTCGTTATTTAATTTCTCATGTATATAATTAAAATTATCTGTAATAATTAGTTCCACTTATTTCGTATGTTTTTGAAATGAATATCTTTAAAAATATGCTTTAAAAGAAAGGGTTTCCAACCACATGCCCGCGGGCTCCATGGCGTCCGTCGATCGTTTAGCGTTTCTCCGCCGCTGTGTGATCACAATAAATATGTTTTAGTTTTCAATAAAATTCTAAGTGACATTTTTCTCATTTTAATGAAATAGAAATTGCATACAACACAGATACCATCACAAAACGAAATGAGACAGCTCTCTTTTTTTATGTGCATGTATTATTAAATCTGTCCAACTAGAAGGTCACCTTAAAAAGGTTATTGGTGCCCGCCGTCCAATAGAGTGTGCTCTTAGGGACGCCTGATTGATCAGATTGGGGACCCCTGATTTAAGAGCATCTTGGATAGCTCCCATTACGTATTCCTTGATCATCCAGAAAGAAAATCTAACATAATTTATTCATCTGTAAGTAAATTAGAGAACTATAAATATGTAATAAAGTTAAATTACACATATTAATTTGTTCTTCGTGATTAAAGTTTATTTTCCTTTCCATTATGTACATCCTTACGTAAGCAAAAATGTAAACTAAAGAGATAATTTTCAGTTTACAACATTATTAAATGAAAATCCTACAAATATCTTGAGTTACGGCTCTAAATATGCTCATCTATATCAAATATTGCACAGACTGCCAATTTCTGCACATGAGCTAATTTAAAATGAATTCAGGCTTCGCATGCTGTTCAGTGTATTTTTAACCAATATTTAAACGTACATCCTGTAACGATTTATCTTTCGTATACTATATTGTATTTTTGCACATTTTTGTTTTCCTGCTTCCTCTCTGTCTTTATATATACATGTATATATTTATTTAGTACTAAAACTCTCTTGACACTTTTTTGGCTAGGAAAAAAGAAAAATTAAAATGTGGTCGTCAAAATCATTAATGCATTACCAACGAATGAGCTACTTTTAAATCCTTCAAACTAAATATATGTTTAATACGATATTAGAACTAGTATTTTGTTAATAATATTTTGATACATTATGATGTTAATTTGATTGTTAGTAAAATGTCTGCCGTTTGAGCAGCGATTTGAGTTTCACTAATAAATACCTACATGTGTTATTACATACACATGAACGTCCATATGAATATAGAAATTAAAAGCAATAATAGGGCGTTTTTAAAGATGCTGATTTGCTTGCTAAAAATTATTAATTCTTCAGTACAAAAGTGCAACACTTGTCATTTTCAGGTAGAATAGGATGTGAGCTCATTATATATTATAGGTATATATCTTCAGTAAGTTTATATACTTTAAGAAGATAATCGGATGCATGCCACATATGTTATAGCTGCGCCAGAGTTGATGCACAACTGCAACCATTTGCTATGAAATTCCTTATTATGTAATGATAAAGGGTGCACTAATAAGGTGCAATAAAGTTGATAGAAAGTGATGGCGTGAGTCGTTAATCGCCCACCTCAGAAATATTGTAAAGAAATTTAAACGTTTCTTTCACCAGCTCGTATTTTGTAGTGATCCGACCCGCAAAGCGGAAATCAGGTGTATAGCATTTTGAAGATATGATCTAAGAAAACCTAGTAGCTCCACAAGGGCGCTCAAATTAAAATGTAATGGACAATGATATGGCTGCATTTTGGTTTGAGAGAATAGGTATCATATTCTTTTCCAATCAAGGTTTAGCTGAAGTAAGAATAAAGTAAAGAAGCAAAAGCATTCGTTTCATGTTCTTTTAGTTAGTAATAGGAAAACCAACTAGCAGTTGGAAAGATTCGGAGTGGATTGCATCGGTAACTTTGGACAGAATTTCTTTGGACTAAATTTCTTTGGTAGCACAATGGATAAAATCTCGTATTCTAAGAATGCAGCCTTACCATGGAGCCGGAGCTAAAGTACGGTTGCAGATATATATGTATATATATATATTAGATAAAAATATATAAATCAGCTTTACAATTTAATTTAGTAACAATCTCTTATGCGACCAGCTGACCACTGTCCACTTGTCCAGGCCAAGATGCACAAGCACCTCGTAGCTAACGGTCTAGAAAGCAGATATCAAGGCACTGCCAGCTATGGCTCTCTATGGGCTGTTTGTGCCGCCGAGTTTAGTTTTAATAGTCTCTTGATTCCTCATTTTAATTTGGGTATTTTGTCTCTCTCTTCTAAAAATAATGACAACATTTGTATTTTGCACCATTTCTAGATTATTCTGCGCCACAGAGTTTGATTAATGCTGATAATATAGTTAATTCGGAACATAAACCCTGAGAACGGAAACCTACAGACTGCCATATTGGATAATTGCGCACTTTTTAGATTTACTGTGTGTTCTTTCACGTTATTTCGCTGTGCTCTCTTCCTGTCACAACAGTCAGTATCAAAACTGTTAATCTTCTGGAAAGAGAGTGCCAAGTGAATTGCAACCACATATGTCAATTTAAATAAATAATCTGCTGCGACTGCGAAGTTTCTTAATCATTACGGATTCAACATTTTGGCATATTCTCCAATCAGAATTGGTCCCCTTCTATATAGATCTGAGCTATTAAGCACGTACGCCATTAGTAATTATGTGATTCTACGACTCAGTATTCCTGCATCAGTAGTTCTGGATTTGTTTTCATCGCACACACACACACACACACACATATATATATATATATATATATGTATGTATGTATCTGGTGAAATATGGGAAATATGGTGATTACGATCGAGACTTGTTACGTAAGGGGAATACTAAGGAATTAAAATCGTTTCCCACATGCATGCTTGTGCTGCAATTGTCAGTATATTCAGCAAACAATTTCAATATCCGGAGAGGTCTTTGTCGATTTTGCAGTACTTCCTTATTCAATCAATATCTTAATGTCTCTAATAAATGACTTACAAAAGAATTAGCTCAACATTTTAATAGGTAATTGCCATACAGCTCTGAAGATATCACAGAATAGATTTTCCATTCAGCAAAACTCAAGTAGCATATCTTTTAATTAGCATTATTTCATATTTACAATGCTTGAACAGTTGGTACAATTGCAATATAATCAGCATTTTCTGATGTATTATCCTTATGAATGGTACACATACTATTTTAATTACAAATGTTTAATTTCTTTTCCAGTGGATTCCGTCGATTCTTAGACTGTGGAGAGAAATTGACTGAACAAAAATGCGGACGAGAGGCTGTTGAAATGGGAAGAACCATTGCTGAACTAGCTGTCACCGAACTTCCAAATGTTGTGTGCAATTCTTTTGACCCCAATAGCTCCCAATGCCAAGCCCTTTTGCCTCCTAAGGGATCAACTCCCAAGGGAACCCAGTCTAGCTCCCAACTAGCTCGCCTGTTGGCTACAGCTCTTGGAAACTAAGTTATAACCCAAACGTCTGAACTTTAGAAGTGGTGATTAAGCAAATTGGCAAAACCTGCTAATTCGTTCATCTAGGAAATGACCACCATTTCGCTTCCTGCATATAATAATTTCGGCTTCTAGGTCATAGCTTCTGGGTGTTTAGAAAATACAGTTAGCATTTTTTTATATCCAGGAACAGACTATAAAATAGAAATTTATTTAAACAATTATACATCTTTTTATTAAATATCACCAAGGATTCTGATTTTATTGACGTTTATTAAATAGGGCACGAAAATTAATCCTTTGTTCTTAAAGGAAAAGCTATTGCGTGCGTTTGCTAAGAGTTGAGTTAATTTGCAGTTTAATTTAATAACTCATAAAATTATTTTATTATTCAAATTAAAACCGCAACTACAAAATAGATTTTTCGAAATATTCGAAAAAAAAGAAAACTCTGGAATTCACAATGAGTAGAATAATTTACTTTTGCACTGCTAAACACTGATTGGCATTTCGTGGTTCATTAATCAAACCACTTTCCTTCAAGGTAAAAAGATATAGAAAGAGATCCTGGCATTAACATCCTTAACTATATTATAGAAATTATTGATATTATTCGAGCTAATTAACTGTAAATGTAAACTTGCTAACCGATATATTGTGTTTCTAAATACTAAAGTCAAAATTTATCAGAGTATTAATATATTCTTTCTTTAATACCGAATTTGATTTCGCAGTTTAGTAAAGAAACTGTCATTTTTAAGCAATATTTATATTTACTTTTGCTAAAATGTTTTAAAGTGTGACTTATGACAATGTGAGCTCTTTATCGTTGAATACTAATAAATAATCAATAGGTGAACTTGGAAAAAATAAAAATATTTTTTCCCTTCCATAAGCACTGAAATCTAAACAGATAAAATAATAGACTATTTAAAGTAGAATTTGAAATTCTTGGAAGCTGTGATCTAGAAGACACGCACGGATGCTCGGTTTTTAGTGAAGAAACGATAGCTAAATTATTAAAATTATGCATTTTACTCGGACCTGCATAAAAGCATGGGCATTTGTTTACCAATCGTGACATATCATATTAGCTAATAAGTCTATAATACTTGTTTTGACGAAGTATCAGTGTATGATGCATAAGATTCGACAAGGAGTTTAATATTTATTACTGATGTCGTTTCCTGATAATCTTTAAGTATTTAAAGAATTTTTAGGAAAAGTGTCGAAGATAATCGTGAATGAATTTTGGAAAGAAAAAAATGACTATTATAAAAACCAATGAATTTGCTTTTGCAATGGCTAATACATCTATTTTGTATAAGCCACATTGCTAAAGAATAATTCTTGATGCTTTAGAAGTTTCAAAGCGTGGAAGAAAGGTTACTAATAGTTTTGAAAAAAAAAATATGTGTAAATTTTTAATTTTCTATTATCTTATGTGATCATTGTTCAAAGAATTATCTTCAGAAAAATTTATATTCTGCAATTATTATTACTGGAGGGATGTAAAAAGTAATTTTGAAAGATATATTCCATTAATTATTATGTTATTTGATTATTAATGTTATTTGAATTTAAGATTAGCTGTGAAAACGCAATATTGAAACACGTAAATTAAAAATATTACATTTACTTTTTACTTTGATTATAAGGTTTTTGCTTAATATTTTGTGAAATCGTTTCGTCTGGCCTCACAAATAATATTTATTTAGAAAACAAACAATTTAATATGTCAAAATTAGCTTTTGTTTCTTTATTGTATATTATCGTATTGTGTCTTTAAAAAAATTAAAATCTTCCTTCCAATGTTTGTGTTTTGTTTTAAGGAAAGCAATTGAACCATTTAGTAAAGAGTAAATACGACAGAAAATTTTTAAAAAAAAATAGGAGAGCAATGGGAAAAATTAAATAAGATGCATTTTCCAGCAAATTTTGAAAAAATATATCTACCCAGTTTTCTTATTGGTTGGGCTCTATGTAAAGTTTTACTCAAAACGTTAAATAATGAGATAAAGGAATTTAAATAAATTTAGTATATCTAAACTAATCGGAGTTGCATATTTTAATCTTACAAAATCTTCATAAAAGGAATAAAGTAGGAAAACGAGAAATAATAAGAAAACTTAAATAAGAAGTAAGAAATTCAGAATAATAAAACTTTGTAATTTCACAGTTTAGACTCCTTAGTTTACTATGCAGAAGTGTTAGATGGGATAAATAAGGAATTTTTATTATATATTCATATTTGAGCTTATACGAAACGAAAACATTTAAATTCCAAGATTATATTTTGTTACTAAATACTTCAGTTCTTGTAAGTTTCATTAACTTAGACAGGAACATGTAAATAAAAAAATCATCTTTCATATGAAGTTTTATTTTCAGCACCGGACAAAAAATATTATAATTTTTTTTTTCGTAATACTTCTGGAAAAGAAGCGCAAAGCTCATTTATCATGAAAGAAGCATTTTCTTTGTTGGTTTATTAATTACACGGAACAATGCACAACTCCTTCTCTGACACTTAAAATGGCTTTGTGAAAATTAATTAAACCTCTAAGTAAACATAAATTTTAGGCAAGAATAATTTTATTTAAATCTGCTAAGAATGCCAGTTTTTGAATTTTAACATATAACATATTCAGAAAGTTCAAAATGAATCCTGAAAGAAAAATCTGAAAAGTTTCAGATTTTAAATTACGTCCAAAGGGGTGTTTTCTTAACGTTTTGTGTGTTACCTTTATTTATTAAATATCATGTTCTTCGCACTTAAACCATAAATATCAGTTCAATAGCAGTGTCGCAAAATAATTTTAAAATGAGCCTATCTTTAGAATTTCCGATACACAGTTCCGCACCCTGGAGATGATAATGTTTTTCCCACAGTAGATTGTTGCCATTGTTCGCTTTCAAATCGTTGAGTTTATTACTCAAAAATTCGTTAAAGTTATACAAAATATTAAATCGATAGTAAAACCGATGAAATAACCGATATGAAACCGATATCAAATCGATAATAATTACGTCATTCAAAATTCGACAGCTCTATGTGCCGTTGTTTTATCACAAATGCGAGAAATATACATACATTTACGCAAATTTTTCATTATTCAATTTCTTAAAATATAATGAAGAACTCTAACATTTGGTGGCAACAGTTTGAAAAGTGAAACGGACATTTACAGGCAATTAAAGACACTATATAGTACATATAAGCATGTAGGCTTCTGTGGAATTTGAGCCCTGGCATAAGGCTCTGGAAGATGGCTCTTTTAGCACAATGTCAAAGAGGGGCTTACAGTTTTGCTTGTTTGTTGTAAGTAATTGTCTTTTTCCCACATTAGCTTACTTTTGCCAAATCGGTATTCTGAAGAAAAATTTAGACTCAAAAATAAAATATAAATTTCTATAATACATTTAATATAGAGGCAATTTAAATTAAAAAGTACGAATCACAGCATTTCTTAGATAAAGATCTATTATAATCATTTAATAGATAAAAAGAACTGCGTTTCCAAATTGATAAAATAATAGATCCAATAAAAATAGATCCATAAAATAATCATTTTCTCGTAAAGCGCAGAGACATTTTATATTTCTGCATTTATTTTAAACTTCAGTAATTTTTCAAGAAGACAATTTCCCCAGTTTCTAAGATGAACTCAGTTAGACAGATAAACAGGGAATTTTCCATCTGGGAAATAATTTTTAGTTTATGAAAAAAAAAAGTAGAACGAAATATTCACAGTGAAAAGTATATTTTAAGAAAGGATTGAACAATCGTAATTGAACAGTTATGCTTTGAAATCGAGTTAAAATTATTATGTATTATTCATAGAACTGACTTATTCTGGAAATTGTATACGTTATATATTTGGAAAAAAAATATTTATTTTCAATAGCCTGTGGGCAGCATGAACTGGCGTCAGTGTTTCTAATCATCTAATTAAAAAAAATGCTAAAATTTCTCTACTTTTCAACATGAAATTGACGTAAAATGTTTTTGAAAACGTTTACATTTATATAAATGTGAAATTTTAAGCATTTCTCATAACAATGCCATTCTAGTGTTTTGCGTTTCATAACATTTAAATGCTACAAAAACCGCACAGTGTTGAAATCATTAATTTACTTTATCTCTGCACTGAAAATGCTCGGTCAGTAGCGAAGATATAAAGAAATAATGTTTCACTTTATGCTTCTTACTTACATTACTTGATATCTTCTACCTGACTTTTCTTAAGTTACTACTTTAACAAATGATGCTACAATTGCTCCTTAATCATAGGTAAACAATTTTTTTTATTTGCAAACTAACGCTATTTACGTGCGTCACACACAGCAAAAGGGCTATTAACTATGTATAATCCTTCATTAAATTCTTAGAAAGATGGTGGAGTTTTACAGACACATTACTGAAATAACTCATACAAAACCTCTGTAGTCTTAGCAACACAAAAAAAATTCTCTGCGCTATTTATTATTTCTTTCACATTCACTTTCTTATGCCTTTGAGGGTACACTGTATACGAAGCTGAATTTTTTCCCTGTATTTTCCAACTGAAAGCTGACCCTCCCTAAATAATAACTCTTAAGATTTTCTCACGGTAAACTCTCCTTGACAGCAATACATTCCCCCCCTCATCATCTGATGTGACGCTGAAAGCAACAGCTGCAGCTTGAGCCCGCAGCTATTTTTCCAGTTTCGTTAATAGGTCTTGTGATAATAAAAGTAAAGAGAAATCTAACCCGTTTATTAGCCGCAGTCATTTTGTGTTTTTCATTACAGAGATAACCCACTGCGATTGCAAACGAAATGTTGATGGAATAATGATGTTAGGTAAAGCTGTAAAGAACATATTTGTGATAGTAACCAAACGTATCATTTTCTTTATGATAAAAGGGTTAATAATTTGAATTTTTAGATTCACTATACTACTCTACAAGTCACAAGGGTCGTATTAAAATAACTGAAAAGATTTACCAAATTCTGATTTTTTTTATAGACACCATATATATATTTCAGAGAAAAAGTCTTCTGGATATGACGAGATGTTATTAGGTATGATTTAACAGTGAGAACAAACTACTTTTCAGCCGTCTACTTCCTTCTAACTTTATTTTGGTAGGGTTCTCCTGATTTCTCTTCATCTTCATCCGATATCTATATCACTTTCAGAAATGAAGTATATTCACTGGCTACATCAAAACTTTGCAGTTCTAAGCATCTCAAAATAACGTGGCTGCTTAGGATTATTTACTATGCTCTGGTCCTTTATTCTGGAGAGCATACGTGCGGTTTTTCTGAGAAATATGGCCTCTGCTTAAACATTTATATTAAGTAACGTAATGTTTTGTTCTAGCATTCCATTGACAATAAGCCCGGTACTCAAGAAAAAACAGGCGCACTACTACTCCAAACACGTCAAAATTGTACTCCTGCATCATAATGTACGTCCACAAGTTGAGGCCCAGATCAAAATCTACTTGGTAACACTCAAATGGGAAACTTCACTCCATCCGCCGTAAATTCACCAGATATTGCAGTTGTTGTTGTCTTGTCTACATTATATGGAACAATGGTTTCCAGAATCTACTTCAAAAATTACTCCTTCTGATTACTAATTGTTTCGGTCAAAGACGCATGGTCTGTCTGAGTAGAGCTTCACATCATAGAAAGATGCCAAAAATTGGGGGAATCTGTGGATAGCCTCAAAAGATGAAGCATTTTTCCGACGCGGTATCCGTATGCTGTCAGAAAGATCGCATTAATGTGCCCATGGGGGTGCAGGTCTCTAGTTAGTTAGTATATGCTGGCTTTACCATTTTTGTTAATAACGATGTCGTGGTGTCCCACATACTTGTTACTGTAACTGTAACTGCTGCCAGAAAGATGGGAAATAATAGTGGCTAGCAATGGACGAAACTTCGAATATGAGGTACAACTCTTTCCCAAATGTCTAATTTTTGACAAAAAAACGGCGAAGACTTATTTTTACTCCAGAAAAATTAGCTGCAATTATTACTCGACTTTTAAAAACCGAGTACATCAAAGTGTTTTATAAAAAAAAACATTGCTCTAGAGTCTCTTTCCATTCGCAAGAAACTCCACATTTCTCAAGATTAAACATGTACTCTGATTAAAAATAATGGACAGCGACTGAACATAAGCTTACCGCAGTTTCTCGAGAAAAGACGAAAATCAAGATTAAACTCTAAGATTTGAATTAGAACGCAATAACA